AAAAAATTTTTTTACAAGTTTTCGAATTTCGACCCGGCCGGGTTATGAAAATCAATTAATTAATTTTGCATGGCCTTTTTTGTCAATTTTATTGCATATTTTTTATTTTTTAAAAAAATCGCTCTTTTAGTTTAAAATTTAAGGTCTTCTGAGCAATTGTGTAAAATTTTAAAAGAAGTTAATATGTAAAATATCGAGGAGATACAGTTTGAATTTTAGTAAATGTTTATAATGTTTTTATAGGAAGCTGTTAATTTTCAAACTGTATCTCCTCGATATTTTACATATTAACTTCTTTTAAAATTTTATAAAATTGCTCAGAAGACCTTAAATTTTAAACTAAAAGAGCGATTTTTTTAAAAAAATTTTTTATTAAAAATTTATTTAATTTCAAATAGTTTTGATATTGGTTACACAAATTTGTAGGTCACGTTACATTACTTCGGCTATTTATCTGCTATCACGCAGGTGACAATTTATTAACAATATATACATGCAACTAATTAAATGTTATGCTAGCCCTATGTGATGCTGGGTAAATAGCCGTAGAGGAAAGAACTACCGGGAAAATATACAGCTACCGAATGTATATAAAATCTCAGTCTTCGATATCTTTAGTATTAGAACAAGAATCGATTTTCCAGCAATTTGATGTTAAGTATTAGCTTGTCATTAATAAAAGAAAATTGTTATAATCGCTTTATAGTGCTTGTCATTAATCAAGGAAACTGCTTTGACTTATAACTGTTTTACTGTGTCACGATACTTTTGTTAACCCTTATTATCTTTGAAATCGATACTTTTGCGTTATTTATTTATCCAACCTTCTGCCTTTAATTAATTGCATCATTTGCGTTATAATTTATTAATTAATTGACATCATTTAGTGATTAAATCTCGACCCTGATCAAATTATTTTACGTGTACAAGTGGATTTAAATATCAAAACTGCTTTTTATTAGAATTTATTTGTCGATATAACGATATAATCAAACTAGCTACAACATCAAGTTCTAAATATTTAATATTATAATTTAATACAAAAAAAAATTTACTAATTTAAAATCGCAAAACTATTTATCATTATACCGTTATTCTAATTCAGGTGTTTTTCATTTTAGCACTTTCTAATGTTTGATCCTTATTTCTGTTTTAATGCTTTCTAATTCAGATACTTGATCTCCCATTTCCGTTTTAATGCTTTTCAATTCGAATGCTTGATCTCTCATTTCCGGCTCAACACTTTCTAATTCGGATGCTTGATCTCCCATTTCCTTTTTAATACTTTTCAATTCTAGCGCTTGATCACTTCTTTTCAAATACTCATTGATTTGTTTTCTATGCTCTTTATATGCATCACTGAGTTGTTTTTTTTTATTTTCGTTATAAATGCATGCTTTTAAATTATTTATATTCAACCACTTTGAACGAGAGCGTCTAGGTGGCATTTTTGTGAAATAAAAAGATGTGGATTATAAACTTAAAGAAAATTAGATGCTATTATATAGAAATATCAGCATTAATACAATAAATAGATTCGTGCTATTATAGCATGAACTTATTTTGTTGTCAATACACTTTCAAGGCCATTCTAATTAATGAGTTTTAATCAATAATAACCATAAGTATAGTTACGTGATTTCAAGGATTTTAATTGTTATTAAAAAAAACTTTTAAAATCGTATAAATAAACAAAAAATTACAAATATTATTGAACAAAAGCCAATTGCCCAAACCGTAATAGTTTAATTCGTATATTTTAAAAAATTGGTGCTGAACAAAAGCCAATTACCCAAACCGTAGTAGTCTAATTCATGTATTTTAAAAAATTGATGCTTAAGATTTGAACAAAGGCTAATTATCCAAACCGTAATGGTCTAATTCATGTGGCTTAATTGATTGATGCTTAAAGATCTAAACAAAAACCCAATTATCGAATCCATAATAGTCTAATTTTAAAAATTGCTGCTTGAACAAAAGCCAATTACCCAAATCGTAATAGTCAAATTCATGTATTTTAATCAATTAACACTTAAAAATCCAAACAAAACCGCAATTACCCAAATGGTAATAGTCTAAATTCAATCAATTGATGCTTAAAACTCGAATTACCAAAACCAAAACAATAAAATTTTGATGACGAAATAATGCTTCAATTAGATATCAAAAACTCGTTATTCATGCATACAATCGCGCATTTGAAATAAACATTTAATTGTTAATAAACAAAAGAAAGTAGTAATAAGCTGATTAGAGTTTAATCAAATTTACCCACCTTGTCAGCTGAACTAAAATTATTGGCTAAGTTCAGTTATTGTCTCTTTTATAACTTGATTCGATAGTTCAGTTATTGTCTCTTTTATAACTTGATTAGATAGTTCGTTTATTGTCTTTCCTGATTATTTGGCTGTTAGTCGCTTATTGTCTTCCTTGATTATTTGGCGGTTAGTTGCTTATTGTCTTTCTTGATTATTTGGTCGGTTAGTCGTTTATTGTCTTCTAGCTTAAAATGCTAATTTGAAATACAAAGTATTTTAAATAAAATGTTTAAACATCGACGTATTTGTTTTGCTAAAAAGTAATCTCTTAGAATATATATCCAGAAGATTATATTTGTTATGAATTGTATCTGTTTGATTTGATAAATTCATTATTAAAAACTACATAAAACAAACGTTTTTCGTTTTATTTTATTTTTTTTTGAGAATCGTAACATTAGTAAATCAACCGATTTCTTATAATATGCCAAAAGTATCAAAACAAAAATGCCATATGACCTATATGCGGTCTCAACAAAATGAAATGCAACAAATTTATAAAATCATATCCCAACTTGATCCCGAATTTCTTCCAAAGATTCGTCAAATTCTTACTAATATCGTAAATCATACAAAAGAAGAAGAAATATTTCATACGATTCGTGAATTGCAAGAACCACAAAAAAAAAACGCATTAAAGCTAATTGAATTAATGCGAAATCCAAAAGGAAAACACAAAAATGAAATAATTTCAATTTACCGCCAAAAAAAAGCTCTTGAATATATCACAGATAAACATAAAAATCAAGTTGAATCTTTAAAAGTTGAGAATGCAAGACTAAAATCCATAAACCGCAAACTATCGAAAACTAATCAAAATCTAGCGCATAAGGTTCAATCCATAAGCAGTTCAAATCGGCATCTCAAAAATAAAATTGTTAAGCGGGTTTCAACTATCAGGTCATTAATACACAAACGAAAGCAAATACCTAATGAAGAATTCAAGCGCCAAATTAAAGCATTGTTTAAAACCAATGACGGCAAATATTCACCTCAAATAGTTTGGCTTTCAACCAAAATTTCACAAATTGGACAAACCTCATTAAATGCAACCGTAGAACTATTGCGTCTCGTTTATGAATTTTTAATAGGAGAACCTCTACAAAAATGGTTGTCAAGATCTACGTTATGTACCTGGCATCAAGAAGTTTCGCAAATTGAAACTGAATTTGCGATAGATCAGATTAACCAATGTTCCAAGTTTGGAATCCTTATTGATGAATCAACCCGTGGAGAAGTCAAAAACTTCGTTTTGTGCATTATGTTCTGGGATAATAGTAAAAATATACCATCAGTTGCTGTAACAAACCTTTTAGATTTGCGAAGCTGTACCGGCAAATCTGTAGCAGATAATGTTCTCAATACAATTATAAACCATGGGCTTGATCCAAAAAAATGTTTAGCTTGGGTAACTGATAATACAGCGTATATGTCTGGCAACCAGAAAGGCGCGATGGTTCTATTTAATAAACAAGCCAATATAAATACAATAAGAATCGGTTGTGGAATGCATATAATGCATATAGTTTTGACGCATTTTGAAGAAGCAGCATTCGGAAAATTACCTTCTTCGATTGGGTTTTCCAGAAAGCCACAACCATTTAACTTGTTATATTTAGCATGGTATCTACATGATGGTTATAATTCAAGCAACAAAGATAAGCCCCTTAATATAAGATCCGAATGGATAAAACAATTATATAATAAGTTATTAGGATACAATTTTTTGCAATACCAAATGCCGATTAGAGGACACTGAGGCTATGAGCTACATACTGCTAGACAATATTTAGAGCGGCGTGAGGCACATATAGAATTTGCCAATTGGTTCATTCAAACACTCGAAAATAACCATAACACACCAGAATCATATCTTTCAGACTGGCGATTATTCCGAGATTGGCTTTTAGACAAAAAATTAAACATTCAAGTTCAGTGTCTAGTGAAATTTGGAGAATACTTTTACGAGCCGTTGATGCAATTTATGGCTGGAAAAGACCAAATACCTTGTATCCAACTAGATAATAATCTAGTTCAACTTCCACCTGGTCGTCGTGCCCATGAAATGTCTGACAAAGTGAATGAGTGGGTTGATTATTTAAATGATCTTAAAGAAAATTTTGACTCATTTTTTGGGGACGAATTACTAATAGCATTAGAATTCCTAAATAATGAAGATTTTAGTGAGCTCTTTGATAGTTTAAAGAAAGGTGTAAATAAAGCATATGAACATTTTTTAAAATGGATGTCTCCATGGCTACACTTACCATTATCAGTCTGCCGTTTGGGTGGAAATTCTGACTATGAATTCGCGCGAGCGTTTTACTATGTAGTTTTGAAATCATCATGGTCTTCAGAACCAACTGAACGTGAAATTAACTTTGCACAACAATTAAATGATGATTTTGAAACAACTAATAATACGTTTGGTCTTCAAGAAGAATTATTAAATTGCTCCAAATTTAGGGTTAAATTCCAACAATTTTGTCTTGATCTAAATTCTAAAATTTATGAATACCCGTTATTATATAAATTCATTAAAAAACGAATTTATTTTATTGTAGTCCATCAACAACAAGTTGAAGGACTTTTTAATAAATTGGACTTGAAAACTCATCCGAATATGGCACAGAACCTGAAACAGTCAAAATTAAAACTTTCATCTGGAAATATAAGTAAAGAAAATATTGCTTTAGGACTTTCAGAAGTTCGTGCGAAACGTAAAAGGCAATTGCAAGAAACTTTACAAGATGATGTAGAAATACATGAAATACATGGGGAAGAAGAAGCAACTAAAACGTTTTTTGAATTATTTCGAACTTAGGATCTGTTATAAAAGTAAATGTATATTAATAATAAAGAGTGTCTAAAATTCTTTGTATATAACGATAACGATAATTAGGCAGATCTACGTATCAATGATCAAAAAAAATTTTCATATCAATTTTTACTATGTACCTATACATATATTTGATCTACATACATGATCGACAACCCCAACGATCCAAGCATGCTTAACCAATCAAAATTAGCATACATGTATACAAATTTGAACGAAGTTTTCTCGATAATTACCTGACCAAATTCAATGAAATTTTTTTAATTTTAATTTTATGAATATGTAGGATTAAAAAAAAAAAATCATCGAATTTTGTCAGGCAGTTATCGAGAAACTTTCGCTTAATTTTAGAAAGAACTGATTCGTCTATCTGTAAATTAAATTTTTTAAAACTTTGAGAGAAGTTTTCTCAACCAAATTGAATGAAATTTTATTTTATTTATTTCTCCACATCATATGATTAAAATAAAAAATTTTTATCGAATTCAATCAGAAAAACATTGTTCAAAGTTTTAAAAATTCACTAGTACTTAAATTACTAATGCTACACAAAGATGATTTTTCGTTTTGCATTAAATGACATTCGAAATTTCGATCGGGGTCGGATTTTTATTTTTATTATTTTTGTTAATCTATGTAGCAAGTCTTTAATTTCTAAGGCTTTCTTGAAAAAGCATTTACTTGTTCAGATGATTTTAAGTTCAATTTATTAAAAAGTCCTTCAACTTGTTGTTGATGGACTACAATAAAATAAATTCATTCTTTAACGAATTTATATAATAACGGGTATTCATAAATTTTAGAATTTAGATCAAGACAAAATTGTTGGAATTCAAACCTAAATTCAGAGCAATTTAATAATTCATCTTGAAGACCAAAGGTATTATTAGTTGTTTCAAAATCATCATTTAATTGTTGTGCAAAGTTAATTTCACGTTCAGTTGGTTCTGAAGACCA